GGTGGGCGGGAGTGAGAGGGAGGTGGGTGGGAGTGAGCAGAGGTGGGCAGGGATGGTAACAGTGCTCGCTCATTAAGATAAAAATAGCAGGAAATCCCTGAGTGACGCATCTTGCAGTTCAATGATGGCACTCATAGGCACTATGCCAAGGGAGGTGGGAGTGGGTGGGGGAGGTGTAGCATCTCAGAAGTTACACTGGCTGAGAGGTTAACTGTCCTTAAGCTTCAATGAGTGAGAAGACACGATAACTTGTGTTGTGGGGTAGTGGAATGAGGGGGAATGCCAGCAAGCTCGTTGTAAATGTTTTGTACTATTGACACACACACACACAGGCTGCAGGCCTGGTCCAGAAACTGGCTCCTGGAGTTCAGCCTCACCAAGTGCAAAGAGGGGCAAAGTGCAGGGAAGGGCAAAGAAGACCGTAGACGGAGTACAGTCTAGGGGCAAGATACTACAAACCTCACTCAAGAAAAAGGATCTTGGGGTGAGTATAATGCCAGGCACATCTTAGGCACACATCAACCAAATAACTGCTGCAGCATACGGGCACCTGGCAAACCTTAGAATAGCATTCTGACATCTCTATAAGGAATCGTTCAGGACCTTGTACACCGTGTATGTCAGGCCTATATTGGAGTATGCAGCAAAAGTTTGGAACCCACACTTAGCCAAGCACGTAACAAAATTAGAGAAAGTGCAAAAGTTTGCAAAAAGATTAATCCCGGATCTAAGGGGTATGTCTTACGAAGAGAGGTTAAGGGAAATCGACCTGACAACACTGGAGGACAGGAGAGATAGGGGGAATATGGTAACGACATAAAATATTGAGAGGAATTGACAAGGTGGACAGAGACAGGATGTTGCAGAGATAGGATGCACCAACAAGGGGACACAATTGGAAGTTGAAGACTTGCATGAATCTCGGGGATGTTAGGAAGTATTTTCAGAGTTGTCAGGAAGTGGAAGTCTGAGGAAATGATGTAGTGGAGGCAGGATCTATACATAGCCTTAGGAAGAGGTATGATAAAGCCCATGGAGCAGGAAGAGTGACCTAGTAGCGACCAGTGAAGAGGCAGGCCAGGAGCTGTGAATCGACCCCCAACAACTACAACTAGGCGAGTACAGCTAGGCGAGTGCACGCACAGGCTTAGAGCCCCTGTTGCCTGATCCGGGACCAGGAGTGGTGGATCAAGGCCTGTTTAACTAAGCTGTTACTGCTGGATGTGCAAACTCCAGAATACGGACCACAGTCCAGCCGATCAGGAATTGATCTGAGAAATTTATAAAGTTCCCTCTTCAGATAGCCAAAAATCTGTTGGTAAGTCCATTTATGTAAGAAGGGTATTGAAAAGTCTTTATCCTCTTATACCTGGAGAAGGTTTCTGGGCTCAATACCCTTTTGGTCCAGTCTTGAGACCAGGTGTCATGGTAGATCAGGGTCTGATCAACCAGACTGTTACTGCTGGCCACACATAAACCGATGTATGAACCACAGCCCAGCTGATCAGGTGCTGACTTTAGGTGCCTGTCCAGTGCCTTCTCTGACTATTTGATCTGCCAGGCCTTCCTTGATGAGGATCGCTCTTATACTCAAAGATCATTCATTTGTTTCTAGTGCTTGTCCCATTTTATCAATGACTGCAGGAAAGCACAGTGCATCAACATGACTTCACATAGGCCCTAGTAAAATTTGTACAGTATTGTCTTCTCAGGTAGGGATGTAGCAAGTACCCTATTCCAATTTGCCAGTTTTTACTGAAAGATTAATTAAACTGAGATGTGTTTTCATGTGTCATCCCATCAGCTTAGCCCTGAATGCAAGTTACCTGACAATGCAGCATCTGAGTGGCTTCAAACTTGGTGCTGGTGTACTGCGAGATATTGGTCTTGGTGAGATAAGAGAATACCTCTTTTGGTTGGCTTTATGGTTTCAAAGCTGGTGCATCGTAGTGGTAGGAGTAAATTAGTTCATGCAGTGTAGGGGGCAGTTTTCTATTTTTATTGAAAAGTCTGGGACATTATATTCCATGCAGTAACATTGGAATGCTTCTTCTGATTGGCTTCAAATCTTCATTGCTGTTACTTAACTGCATCACAAACTTTTGCTGCAGTGTGTACTATTCATTTTTGTATGCATCGAGGTGAAAAGGTCTGGATTTATAAGATACAAGGATAACTTTTATCGGACCACGGAGTGACCAAACACAATTTTAATGTTGTTATATTTAGCAAAGTCAGGTCACCATCTGAAAAACACACAGGCTGGGACAGTACTGGTGAACCAAGAATTAGTACTTAAACCAATACATACAGGTTATACAGTGTAAAGATGGTTTTAGTTATAATGGCAGAGGTTAGCTATGTTTAGTGAAGTCCTACCATCGACAGGTGGGTGTTTTGGAGAGGGCAAAATCAGTACTCTCCAGGTGTAAATGTTGAAAGTAAATCTTGTGGGTTCTCTGATTGGACAGACTATTAATACAGTGGAACCTTGACTGACAAATGCCCCAACATACGAGTTTTTCGAGATATTAGCCGTCGCTCGGTCGATTTTTTGCTCCGAGTTATGAGCCAAAATCTGAGTTGAAAGTAAGCTTCCCTTTCAAGGGAGGTTCCTTGATGCTTGTAATGGGCTCTTGATTTAGGGAATCGAATCTGTGCTCCAATTCCCTAAATTAAGCCTGAAATTAAGCAGCTAACTTCAGCGATAAAGTGTAGCATTAAGAGCGTAGCAAGTAAGTTAAGCAATTAAGCGATAGAAAAGGACAAAACAAAACTAATTTCTCCAATGTTGTTGTTTATAAGGGCACTGACAGCATATGCTGCTCTGCCAGCATCTCTTCCAAAGTAAATATGTACGTACACTTTATAAAACCAGTTTATTTCTTTACATTCTCTATTATGTTTTATGTTTTTATACAATATTTCTTATTTATAAATACAGTGGTACCTCCGGGATATGAACAGCTCAAAATGCGAACAATTATGTAAGTGCATTTATTTAAGAGCTTCTGTAAGTATTTTTGGGTGTCTGAAACAGATTAATCTAATTTACATTATTCCTTATGGGAACAAATTCGTTCAGTATCAGCACTCGAACAACCTTCTGGAAAGAAGTAAGTTCATATCCCAAGGTACCACTGTACATTGTTTCAGTGTTTTCCTTATGAAACTAGTGACCTAGTACAATTAGCCTCATAAACACTCCATTTTCTCTTATCATAAGAGCATTGGAAGATATGGTCAGAGCGGGAGCGGGAATGGCCGCAACCACTAATCACACACCATACTTTATTCATTCTAGAGCATATATCATGTTTCTATGTTATTTATATTGTTTGTCATACGAAATCAATTGTGATAGATAAATAAGTCGTAGAGTTGATATTAGTATTATATTGAGGTATTTTGTCCTGCCTCCCGAGAGCAGGAATTCCGCTGGAAAGGATTAATGGCATTTCAATTAATTTAAATGAGGAAAATTGATTTGATATACAAGCAAATTGTGTTACGAGCTAGGTCACGGAATGAATTAAACTCATAAGTCGAGGTTCCACTGTATGTGGTGAACTATTAGATCTACTTGGCAGTCCTTGCATTGAGGGGCTGGGTAACCAGTCACGTGGTATGTGTGCAAGTTGTACGAGGACAATCCGCAAATGTGCAAGGGTGGTTTCCCACATCCTACAACTGTGGGAACAGGATGACCAGGGACCAAACTGCAGTCTGATGGAAATTAAGTTGTCCTCTTACATGACTGTTGCCAGTGGGTCTGAAGCCCTTAAGACAAAAATGGAAAATTTTCGATATGTGCCCCCTCTATTTGATGTGGAGAGCAAATGTCCTGAGCTACTGATTCTACATGTGCATTACCCTGTACACTTGAGAGTTAAGTAATCCAGCAAAAGTGTGTTTTTGCTAGAACGACTACATAACCTCTGTTGTATAGAGAACATGATGGGTGTCAATTTTATCTGAGGAGGTTATAATGCACTCTGAGAATCTAAATTATTACAACCATGGGGCAGTGCTAACTCATAGGATTATACAGCGCATGTGGGGGAAGGGGGAGTGGAAGGTATTTAGGCTCAATTCAGGGAACTGGAGCACGGATCCAATTCCCTAAATCAAGAGCCATTCAACATCCAGGAACCTCCCTCGAGGGGTTGAGAACCTAGAACCCCATATTAAGTGGCAGGTGTGTTTGCAATGTGTATGACAGTCTTTACAGTTGCATTTATCTATGAAAATGCTAGTAGAATACAGTAAATAACCTCTTAATACTTTATCTGGTGAAACACACACAAACGATGCCATCAGAGGATTTGGAACATTTTGTATACACTGTCAACATGCGAATGAGACAGAGTGTTTAAGAAACATATTAGGCTGTGAACATTGAAGAGATGGGGGTAGCGAACTAACTTGAACTTCTGAAGCTTGCCAAAGTAGTAAGGGAGAGGATAATATGGGATGAATATTGCTGGAAAGTAAATTAAGGGGCGTTGCAAGAGTTCATGTAGAAGTTAAAATAGTTAGATAAGATAAGATAAGATTTCGTTCGGATTTTTAACCCCGGAGGGTTAGCCACCCAGGATAACCCAAGAAAGTCAGTGCGTCATCGAGGACTGTCTAACTTATTTCCATTGGGGTCCTTAATCTTGTCCCCCAGGATGCGACTCACACCAGTCGACTAACACCCAGGTACCTATTTTGCTGCTAGGTGAACAGGACAACAGGTGTAAGGAAACGTGTCGAATGTTTCCACCCGCCGGGAATCGAACCCGGGCCCTCCGTGTGTGAAGCGGGAGCTTTAGCCACCAGGCCACCGGGCCTGGGCAACATTTTGCTCTGGGTAATCTTGGCAAACTTATACCCACACCAAAATGTATATAGTGAAGGTTCACTGAGCATCATGTTCCTTTCAACTGGAGTAGATATAAATGACATTGATTCAAAGCCACTATTCTCAAGGGTCAAAGGAAAGAAAAACTACAGTCCACACTTCCGGCACTTTTTTTTTAATAGCTCAGCAAAGAGCCAAACATGTTATGTACATGAAGGGGTGACTAGCACCTAGAACACTTGCTAAACAGGGCCACAGACACAACTCTTTGGTTCAATACACCTTTGCTATTTTAAAAATTATGCATTTAATTTTAAACATTAGAACAAATTTGTCAAAATGATTGAATTTAGCATTCGCTTAAAATTTTGTTAATTAGCCCAAATAGTCTGACCTTTTTGTAATGCGGTTTAAAATTAATTGACAGGTAATGAATGAACACATCTAGAAAAATTTAAACAAATGCTGTATAGCCCTTGTGGCTTAGCACTTCTTTTTGATTATAATAATAATAAACAAATGCTCTGTAAATATGTTTTTGGCTCCATAACACAGGCATACTTATACTGCATTCTGTTACCCTGTCTGCTTCTGTTCAGTGTGCTAAGTTAAAGTTCAGAATTCTTATACAGTATAAATTTCCATTCCCCTTGCCGAGTGCTATAAGCTTAAACCCTACACCACAATAATAGATGCACACGTTCACACACTCCTGAAAACAATAAGTGTCATTATGTCAGCATTAAAGTAACAGACACGACATGCTCTCACTCGCCCATGGTAAAAGATCATACATTCATATGCCATTATATTTACCATTTGGTTCCAGTTGAATGTCTGTGGGACAGTTTCCAAGATTACCACTGATCATAATGCTGCAATTTTTTTTTTTTTTTTTTTTTTTTTTTTTTTTTTTTACAAATAGCTCACCTGTTGTCTGGGACAATTATACAGCAAGGCCTACAGATGGATTTCAATGACCTAAAGAATTTTTTTTTTCAAATCTAATGATTACAGATATAATCTACTCAAACACATGAACAAAGTAACTTCTGGCAATGAATTAACAAACTCAACATTTTACTTTCACAACCATGTTTTGTCAAACAGGGTCAAAAGTCTTTAGAATAATAGAGACCATAATCTAACAAACAATAACAAAAATTCACAGTGTTAAATCTTTGGTTTCAAAAATCCTTGGCCAAGTACAACAAACAGTAGTACAGTCCTTTTGAAGTTGGCTGGACAATAATAAATAGTAATTACTACCAATTCTAAAAAAATTAGCTAACTGTTGGTTAGATCTTGCAAAAGTTCCAAAGAATAATGAAAGAATAGTTCAGAGCAGTTTCTTAGCACAAGCTTTGCTTAATAATGCCTGCCAAGTATCTCCAAATGTTTAATATGAAGGCTTTTAATGAGTGATTCTTTTAGCACTTAGTTTTTATTATAATAATAATGAGCGACTCTTAGTTCAGTAGTAGTGTTAGGGTCTCGATCGATGGACCTGGGTTCAATCCCAGGGAAGTTAGAGACATTGGCACGTCTTGTTGCACTTTGGTGCACCTAGAAGTAAACAGGTGTTAGTTAACTATTGTTGGTTGCATCTTTGGGAAGCTTACCAAAAGACAATGTAAATAAGCAACAGTGCTTAACTATCCTGTATTAACAGCCCTCCGGGGCTAACAATCCAAAAAAAAGTCTTCATCTTGTACTGTGTAAAACAAATCTTATAAATGATGTTGGTTAACAAGTCAAGCTGGCATTCAAGAATGCAGTTGAGTGAATGGGATTTCTGTCAGATCTAGAGAAACTGAGTGATGACAAAATCAGCATTAGTTCTGTAGTGAGGACTGAATAATGGCACACTCAGAATACTCTACAAGTTAAGACTATATTTTAGAAGTAGGAAAAATGGCAGCCAAAAAGAAATATTTTTGCACATTGGTCAGTGTCTTTGTATCAAGACAATCTAGATCGCACAATAACTGCTACCTGTGGTGTAAACTCACACAAAACTACATCATACAATGAAAATATACCTTTCAATGCATATGACATCGTATATGCAAAATATAATCTGATACAAGTTGAGTATAAGATTTTTTTGGGGAAGTGAGCAAATGTTAATGAATATACCACATTTATGCATTAATGGAGAGCATTTACAACACAGGAGAGCCATAGCTACAGCCATTATATACAGCATACAACAGTGAATAAGTTTTTTTTCTACACGAGTTTGATTTAAATATTAAGATCCTCGGTGGGAGACGACCGACTTGTTGAAAAAAAAAAAAAATTAAGATCCATATTCAGTTTAATTATTGATCAATAACACAGGTTTATCTCACATGAACACACAATTTTGCAATATGCAGTGAAATCTTAAAATAGGTTAATTTGAGGAATAAACTAATTTATTCATAGAAAATGCAAAAAGCTTTTAAGAGAAAAAAAATATCAGAGATCAGTGGTTAGATAAAGATCATTGCTTCTAAGAATCACCACAGCAAAACACGAAGGAAGTAGTCTAAATATATAATCGATAAGCACAACATTTCACTAACATGGTATACAAGATTTGTTTAAGTTAAATCCAACCAAAGTTATTTAGAAACATCACTTACAATGAACAACAAATGGGAGTAAATACCCACACATGAAATTTGTGGAACATTAGTTATTACAGATCTGCCAAACTCAGTCCTCAGATCAAAGAGTAATGTATCTCTGGTTCTGCACTGCACCAGGTGAAGCTACATATCGCAAATGTTTCCGGGGGGCCTTCATGCCTAATATATATGTGGCCATCTATGAATCCAAGTTCATTTTCAATAAACACTATGCTACAAACAGGAGGTTGGCAAGCATTTAAAATTATAAATTCAGATATTTACATCATCTCAAACTGATATTACTCAAATCTTACTAAAGTACTGTAAATAAATTTACACACACACACACACACACACACACTCTCTCTCTCTCTCTCTCTCTCTCTCTCTCTGTAGCCCAGTAGCTAAGAATGTTAAGCTGGTAATTCCAGGACTTCCAGACTGTGGGTTCAAATCTCATTCACTACACTGATTGTATATGAACTGAGAAAACCCAAATGGAGACAGAGTACAAAAAGACTGCATTCTGATCTTGGTTACTGAAGATCCCTGAAGGAGACTGAAATATACAGTCTCCTTTCACAGTCCACTTTTTGTCTATGTAGGTTTACTTAACTCATCAGTGTCCACTACTAAAGGAGGGATATTTGCTGTTTGGAGAGACATCTGAAGTGTCATATCTGCTCGCCTTTGGCAAGACAGTGATGGTGTGAATGATGGCAATTTTTTTTTTTTTTTGTTACTCTGCCTCAGTGGGAGATGGCCAGCATGTTAAAACATTGTTTATATATAATATATATATATATATATAAAATTGACAACCACATCAGTCATCTCGGGATAAGGTAGGGTGACTGAGAAAGGGAAACATTCACCAGTATTCAGTTAAGATTTCCTTCAAATTTTTAACCCTGCAGGGTTAGCCACCCAGGATAACCCAAGAAAGTCAGTGTGTCATCGAGGACTGTCTTATTTCCAGCTATCTTACCACAAGTGTGTAAACCTCTTGATTCAGATGACCCTCTACACAGTAACATATCCACTCCCTCCTGCCAGAGTGCAGGCACTGTAGTTCCCTTTATCAGGAATAAATTTTGGGTAATTGTTTTCCCCCCAAATCCTGTTGTAAATGTTACCTTGCTCACACACCAAAGGCATATCAAACTATAATATAAATTATTATTTATTTTTTTATTATCACACCGGCCGATTCCCACCAAGGCAGGGTGGCCCGAAAAAGAAAAACTTTCACCATCATTCACTCCATCACTGTCTTGCCAGAAGGGTGCTTTACACTACAGTTTTTAAACTGCAACATTAACACCCCTCCTTCAGAGTGCAGGCACTGTACTTCCCATCTCCAGGACTCAAGTCCGGCCTGCCGGTTTCCCTGAATCCCTTCATAAATGTTACTTTGCTCACACTCCAACAGCACGTCAAGTATTAAAAACCATTTGTCTCCATTCACTCCTATCAAACACGCTCACGCATGCCTGCTGGAAGTCCAAGCCCCTCGCACACAAAACCTCCTTTACCCCCTCCCTCCAACCCTTCCTAGGCCGACCCCTACCCCGCCTTCCTTCCACTACAGACTGATACACTCTTGAAGTCATTCTGTTTCGCTCCATATAAATATGTATTATATATATATATATACCACAGCACATGAGCAAACACTAGGACATAAATATGTGTATGTTCTAGTCTTTGCTCATGTGTCTTTTTAAACCAATTTGTCAGTATCAATCACCAAGGTTTACACCATATACCATAGCATATAAAAAACCCAAGCTTCATGTATGGCCAGTGACAAGGAGACATGATAAGTGATACCTGGTACACGTCACGTCTCAAACGAGTATTACTCTCCTGTTCTGGTGGTAAACAAAGGTGCTGTTAAAACTATTTCATCTAACAACTGGAATGTTAGTAGAAACTTGCATCAAATCTAATTTGGTGAACATATCTGGATATGTTACTCGAGTTAACTGCATAAAAACATTATCATGGCATCAGAGTATCAAAGGGCATTATTAAAAGATGAACTTCTAATACTGAGACTTTGGCTTCAGTTTGTGTTGTAGGGAAAGTCATAATTCAACAGTATGATCCATGGACACAGTTTTATCAAGATTTTCTTCATATGTTAAAAATACAATTTTGAAAATCTATGTTCGCAGTGACTTGCATCACATCTGAGAAGTAACAGGACTATTCACAGAGTCAAAGCACTGACAGTATAATATAGCAAAATAATATAATGTATATTAACACACTGCCTTTAGTTAATTACAAATTCTAACACTAGAAAAAGAGAGAACAAACCGCATAAATAAAAGATAACAGGGATAAACTGAGCAGGAAAGTTTAAAAAAGTAAAAAAAAAAAAAAATCAGTATAGTACTTTTTTTTAAAGTATTTCATGTTAAGCTCATTCTGAGTATCATTTAGAGATCTGAATAGTCATGACCCTTGAATTGTAAAAAATACAATACTGTTCTGTACCTTTATAACACAATGGTGGAAAGCACAGTTTTGTTCCAATTTTATAGTTATAATTTTCCTATAAAAGAATTTTGTAATATTTAGTTGGAGCTAAAATGTGCAAATAAAAATGACCATAAAGTCATACTTTTCTCAAGCTAATAAAATGCTATAACATTCTCTCTCTAAAGTTCACAAGAAGACAGAAGAAAGAACAAGAGAAAATAAGATGATTGAAGAAGACCTAACAGCAGGAGAAGAAGCAAAATGGACAGAGTCTGCCTGAACTTTCTCAGTCTTCTTTATTACTTCCTGAGAGAAGTCAGAGTAACCAGCAGCATTCTTGGCTGATGCACGAAGTACGTACAGTGTGTCATCAGCCAAGCTGTTGATGATGTAGCTATCACCTGCAGAGGGAAAAAAAAATGCAATTTCACAAACTTTACATATTAAACACCTTAAAGAAACTAATTCAGTCACTCATCAATCTGAACATATCAGAGTGAATAAAACAAAAACACAGAGGTAAGGAGTCATACATGACACTGTACACAGTGTACATCAGGCCCATATTCCAATAATAAATAAAATCAAAAGTTTATTTCTTTGCAAAGGTTACAATGTGTGTTTACATTTCATAATTTGATTGGTACAAAGAAAGCCACTAGCTTGCCGAGGCATTTCAGAATATGCAGCACCAGTATGGAACCCCCACCTGGTCAAACACAAAGAAACTGGAGAAAGTGCAAAAGTTTGCAACAAGACTAGTCCCAGAGCTAAGGGGTGTGCCCTATGAGGAGAGGTTCAGGGACAGAATGTTTCCGAGATGGGACACAGGGACACAACTGGAAGTTAAAAACTCAAATGAGTCATAGGGATACTAGGAAGTGTTTCTTCAGCTGTAGAGTTATCAAGAAGTGGAACAATCTGGAGAGTGTAGTAATGCAGGTAAGGTCCATATATAGCTTTAAGAAGAGGTAGGATAAAGTTCTTGAAGCAGGAAGAGTGTAGACCTAGCAGCAACTAGTGAAGAGGCAGGGCCAGGAGCTATGACTCAAGCCCTAAAACCACAAACAGGAGAGTACTGGACACCATACACACAAGAGGTGGAAAGCAAACATTGGAATACATCGGATACATTTGATACAACGGAAGCAGTGGAACCTTGAATAGAGTGACAATGAATTCTGCAAAGTGAAGGAGATCTCTCAGAACCACTAGCTAAACTATCAATCAATGGATATTTAACAATTACCAGTAATCTGGAAGATGGCAAATGTAATCTCAGTATTTAAGAAAGGAGACACGGAAAACGTTAAACTACAGACCAGAATCACTGACATGCATACCATGTAAGGTAATGGGGAAGATAATTATAAGGAGAGTGGTGGAGCACTTGGAGAGAAGTGGTTTCATAAACATTAACCAGCATGGGCTTAGAGATGGTAAATCTTGTCTCGCAAACCTGCTAGGGATTTATAACGGTAGCATAATTGAAACAGTAGAGGGATGATTAGACTGTACATCCATGGACTGCAAGAAGGCATTTGGTATTGTACTTAACAAGAGACTGGGATGAAAACTAAAGTAGCAGGCAGGAATAATATTGCATTACTATGGAACAAAAAGTACATTACTGGACAGTTATTATCCATGGCTTGTACTGTTTCAGGTATATGTGAATGACATTTCATAATATAGTAAAGCAGGTGACAAACTGACACTAATAAAAAAAAAAAAGCCAGACACATACACAAAGAGCTCCTTTATGAGGTTAAAAAAAAAAAAATGGGTAACCCCAGAGGGTGGAGACCCAGGGGTCTGGAGGTCGAACCCAGGAGGGAGGAAGCTGGTAGGGAAGGTTGGGAGTTAGAGCTCAAAAAAATGGAGGAAGAGTGGGGAAGGAAGCTATCAGAGCTCGGCAGGGTAATGGAGGAGAGGATACCTGGACAGGAGGGTCAGGGGAGACATGATAACAACATACAAAATACTGCATGGAATAGATAAGGTGGACAGAGACAGGTTGTTCCAGAGGGGACACAGAAATGAGGGGTCACAATTGGAAGCTGAAGTCTCAGACAAGTCACAGAGATCTTAGGAAGTATTTCTTCAGTCATAGTCATCAGGAAGTGGAATAGTCTAGCAAGTGATACAGTGGAGGCAGGAACCATACGTAGCTCTAAGACGAGGTATAACGAAGCTCAAGAAGCAGAGGGAGAGAGAAAACCAAGTAGCGATCAGTGAAGAGGCGGGGCCAGGAGCTGAGTCTCGACCCCTGCAACCACAATTAGGCAAGTACACACACACACCTACCTATGCACAATACAAAAACAAATTATAAACCAACCTTTTTTAAACTCCATGGCTTGTGCAAACTTCCAGTCATCTCCTGCCATCTTGTATTGTACCCGATAGGCCAAAATTGGCATTTCAGGGTAATTTTTGGCTGAGAGGGCAAGATGTAGAGCATTCACTTCTGCATGGGTGACCTGTGAAAATAAAAAGGTTTGAAGCCATACCCACTGAATTTTTAATATCATATACTGTGCAACTTTTAAAATAAGAAAAAATCCCCAGGAACCAGGTCCTGACTTATAGAACTCCCTGAAGCCACTATCTCGTACCTTTAATAATCTATGGCCTCTAAAACTAAGTTTATGAAAAGATTAGTCCGTGTGTGTGTGTGTACTTACCTAATTGTGGTTGCAGGGGTCGAGACTCAGCTCCTGGCCCTGCCTCTTCACTGATCGCTACTAGGTCCTCTCCCTCTCTGCTTCCTGAGCTTTGTCATACCTCTTCTTAAAACTATGCATGGTTCCTGCCTCCACTACTTCACTAGCTAGGCTATTCCACTTCCTGATGACTCTGAAGAAATACTTCCTAACGTCCCTGTGACTCGTCTGAGTCTTCAGCTTCCAGTTGTGACCCCTTGTTTCTGTGTCCCCTCTCTGGAACATCCTATCTCTGTCCACCTTGTCTATTCCCCGCAGTATCTGTATGTCGTTATCATGTCTCTCCTGACCCTTCTGTCCTCCAGTGTCGTCAGTCCAATTTCCCTCAACCTTTCCTCGTACGACATTCCCCTGAGCTCTGGGACTAGCCTTGTTGCAAACCTTTGTACTTTCTCTAACTTCTTGACGTGCTTGACCAGGTGTGGGTTGCAGACTGGTGCTGCATACTCCAGTATGGGCCTAACATACACAGTGAACAGTGTCTTGAACGATTCCTTATTAAGGTATCGGAACGCTATTCTCAGGTTTGCCAGGCGCCCGTATGCTGCAGCAGTTATTTGGTTGATGTGTGCGTCTGGTGACGTGCTCGGTGTTATGGTCACCCCAAGGTCTTTCTCCCTGAGTGAGGTCTGTAGTCTTTGTCCACCTAGCCTACACTTCTTTGCCCCTCCCCAATCTTCATGACTTTGCATTTGGCAGGATTGAATTCGAGAAGCCAGTTTCTGGACCACATGTCCAGCCTGTCCAAGTCTCTTTGCAATCCTGCCTCATCCTCATCCGATTTAATTCTTCTCATCAACTTCACAGCATCTGCAAATAGGGACATTTCAGAGTCCATTCCTTCCATCATGTCGTTCCCATATATCAAAAATAGCACTGGTTCTAGAACTGACCCCTGTGGGACCCCACTCGTCACAGGCGCCCACTGTGATACCTCTTCACGTACCATGACTCATTGCTGCCTCCCTGTCAGGTATTCCCTAATCCATTGCAGTGCCCTCCCTGTTATATGTGCCTGATCCTCCAGCTTCTGCACTAATCTCTTGTGGGGAACTGTGTCAAAGGCCTTCCTGCAGTCTAGGAAAATGCAATCAACCCACGCCTCTCTCTCGCGTCTTACTTCTGTTACCTTGTCACACACACACACACACACACACACACACGTACGTCTGGCAAGTGATGTAGTGGAGGTAGGAACCATACATAGTTTTAAGACGAGGTATGATAAAGCATGGAGCAAGGAGAGGGAGGACCCAGTAGCAGTCAGTGAAGAGGCGGGGCCAGGAGCTGAGTCTCGACCCCTGCAACCACAATTCGATGAGTACAATTAGGTGAGTACACACACACACATCTAAAAAGTAAGGAGTCATTCAAGACACTGTACTTGGTGTACATCAAGCCTATATTGGAGTATGCAGCACCAGTATGGAACCCACACCTGGTCAAAGACATCAAGAAATTAGAGAAAGTGCAAAAGTTTGCAACAAGACTAGCCCGAGAGCTGATGGGTATGTCCTACGAGGAGAGGTTAAGGGAAATCAATCCGACAACACTGGAGGACAGGAGGGATGGGGGGACGTGAAAACAACATACAAAATACTGAGAGCAACTGATAAGGTGGATAAGGACAGAATGTTTCAGAGATGGGACACAGGAACAAGGGGTTACAACTGGAAGTAGAATGCTCAGATGAGTCACAGGGATGTTAAGAAGTATTTCTTTGGGTCATAGAGCTGTCAGGAAGTGGAACAATCTGGAGGGTGATGTAGTGGAGGCAGGATCCATACACGGCTTAAGAAGAGGTACAATAAAGCTCGTGGAGTAGGGAGAGTGAACCTAGCAGTGACCAGTGAAGAGGTGGGCCCAGAAGCTGACTCGACCCATGCAACCACAAATAGGCGAGTACATATAGTGTGTCCCCAGAGTCAGTATTTGGCAAAATATGTCCAAATGACATATCTTTACACAAAATATAGGTATTTGCATAATTTATTATTTTTTTATTTTCAGACCTGTACTATTTGTGATGAAATTGCAAGAAAACATTTATGTAGCAATGCGGAGGATAAAACAGGAGAAACAGGAAAAAAGTTTGCAAGGTAAACTCCAGGAAAGCTTCACAAAATGGGTCCTACAGACAAGGCAATTAGTGACAACCTGGTGAAGTTTAAGGTAAGCTAGATCTGTGCATGATAAGATACAATCCAGACATATGTAATTTTTTTTGGTTCATTATCTGTATTATGTGTAATTTTGTTATTAAAACATTTATATATACAGGAGGGCTCCACTTATGCAGCAGGTTAGGTTCCGGGCTATTGCTGTAAAGTGAAAATCACTGTAAAGTGAATCATAGCCTTTTTTTCACTTTCGAATGCATATAAAAGCCTGATAACATGTTTACACTATTGTATATTAAGTGAGCAATATAGTTAGGCCTAAAAATTTTTAAATATTTTCGTCCTTAGCTTATATTGAGTGGTGAATGTATTTATTGTAGGAAGTTGGAATAAAAGAAGAATGGGCTTAACTGAAAACCGATGTATTAGCGAAATGCTGAAAAAGTGAAGTGCTGTAAAGGGGGGCTTTGCCTGTAGTTATTTTAAGGACTGTGTGTGTATGTATGCGTGTGTGTGCGTGTGTGTGCGTGTGTGTGCGTGTGTGTGCGCGTGCGTGCGCGAGTGCGTGAAATTGATATAAATAGTTCCTTTATATAAAGGGAAGTGGGACAAGAGAGAGTAAAAAATTATAGGGGAATAAGCCTACTGAGTATACCTGGTAAAGTGTATGGTAGGGTTATTACTGAAAGAAATAGAGATAAGACAGAGAGAAGGATTGCATATGAACAAGGAGAGTTTAGAATGGGTATGGGATATGTAGACCAAGTGTTTACATTGAAGTATATAAGTGAACAATACTGTATTTAGATAAAGGCAGGGAAGTTTTAGTTGCTTTTAGGAATTTAGAAAAGGCTTATGATAGTGTCCATAGGAGAGCAATGCGGCAGATGTTGCAAGTGTATGGAAAATTACTAAGTGCTGTAAAGTTTTTTTTATAATGATAGCGAGGCTCGGATTAAGATGTGTAAGAGAGTGTGAGATTGCTTTCCAGTAAAAGTAAGTCTCAGACAGGGATGTGTAATGTCACCATGGTTGTGTAACATATTTATAGACAGGGTTGTAGAAGTAAATGGTAGGGTGTTGGGGAGAGGGGTGGGATTAAATTATGCAGAATCAAATACAAAATGGGAGTTGACAATTACTTTTTGCTGATGAAACTGTGCTTTTGGGAGATTCTAAAGAGAAGTTGCAAAGGTTAGTGGACGAGTTTGGGAGGGTGTGTAAAGGAAGAAAGTTGAGAGTGAACATAGCTAAGAGTAACATGGGTAAAGAAAAATTAGATATCACATTGGAGGGAAGGAGTATGGAAGAAGTGAATGTATTCATATATTTGGGAGTAGACTTTTCAGTGGATGGCTTAATGAAGGACGAGGTTAACTACTGAATTGATGAAGGAAAAAAGGTGAATGGTGCACTGAGGTATCTGTGGAGACCAAAAAAAAAACAAAAGTTATCCATGGAAGCAAAGAAGGGAATGTATGAGAGTATAGTGGTACCAACACTTACATGGGTGTAAAGCATCTTGGTTCATATTTAGTCACCAGCACTGATTTCACTATGATTTATTTAATGTAGTTTGTCACCCTTTTCTTGAGGACCATCATCTATTAACCATTTCCAAAGAAGTTCTTTGTTAACCTTCCTATTTTTCCTTAATCCACAGGATTAACAGTGGTCCATCATCTAGTTTCTGTCGTGACCAGTGTTAAAATTTTCTGCCTACCCACACCTTAAGTTTAGTGGGCTCATTTACCATCATCAAACATAGGTGAAATACCATCCTACAGACTGCATATAAGCCTAAAATTTCATTTGAAGACTTTGTAATTTAAGGGTATTTCCATGTCTCCTTAGGAAGCAACAATACTATTTTTATACATCTAAATTAAATCTGTTTTTAAATATTAGTTTACAGTGGATTTATAATTTATGCTCTGGTAATATTTTTATAATTTAAAAAATGCTGAATTTTTGTAAATACTTCTCTTTTTTTGCTTAACTTCAATTAACTTTAATATTTGAAAAGGTGCTACTGTATTGTCCTGCAAGCCATCCCACATATCAGAAGCATCCTCATCTGTCATATATAAATACACAAGTGAAAATACCAAGCACTAATTTATCTCATACACTTTTACCTCAGTGTTGATTATCACAGACAAAACAGCAAATAAATATACCAATATTAATATACAAATGAATTTGCACGTAAAACCTGACTGCATGAATAGTTTTACAAAATGTAACTTGTTTATCAACAGTATGGAACACAGGTTATTTGAAAGCAATAGAGCAGCTGCTAAAAAAAAAAAAAAAGCCTTGAAACCATATGACAGGAGTAGAAAAAGACTATTATTTTCCATTACCGTGGCAGTAGGCACAGCAGGCTTGGCCCCCTTCTCTAAAATGATGGCTCGTTCCAGTGTTCCTAGCTTGTTCTCCGCTTTGCACAGGTAGTCTCCAAACATGTCTGGGTCTGTGACTGTCAACTGGGGAAACAGAGATATTATTACTGTATAGACAATTTACCAAGAGTGCTAGAAATAAACTCTGAGGGAAGATATCACATAATAAGGATTGAAAAACTGAGGAAACGCAAATAAAAGGGCAGTAAGTAAAATCATGTATAAAAAAAAAAAGCTGCATATGAATACTGCAAGTGGCAAGAAAATGTAGATGATTAAAAATGGCAAACTCAAAATGTGATAAAAAAAAAAGTGAGAGTCAAAGATTTATTTCCACATGATACAATGCTGAAGAAAGCTCTTCATTAAAGAGAAAACTGAAGAGTATGCCTCCCAGCATACATAAGGAGGATTACTAATAGACCCTGGCTGTCTTCAAGAAGGTACTGAACAGGCACCCAAAGTGAGTACCTGACCAGCTGGGCTGTGGTTTGTACATCAGTTTGTATGCAGGCAGCACTAACACCCTGGTTGATCAGACCCTGATCCACCACAAGGCCTGATCTCAGACCACGCAACAGGGTACATTGACCCCCAAAACCCTCTCCAGGCATACTCCAGTAAGTCACAAAATAATTAATGAATTAACAAAAATCAGAATTAAAATTAAGATAAGATTTCGTTCGGATTTTTAACCCCAGAGGGTCAGCCACCCAGGATAACCCAAGAAAGTCAGTGCATCATCGAGGACTGTCTAACTTATTTCCATTGGGGTCCTTAATCTTGTCCCCCAGGATGCAACCCACACCAGTCGACTAACACCCAGGTACCTATTTGCTGCTTGGTGAACAGGACAACAGGTGTAAGGAAACGTGTCGAAATGTTTCCACCTGCCGGGAATCAAACCCGGGCCCTCCATGTGTGAAGCGGGAGCTTTAGCCACCAGGCCACCAATTAATACTGTACTATTTTCTAACAGTTCAAATTAAAAAAAAATCCAAATATTAAAACCTGCATATAACACAAAACCTAACATATAAAGGCTGTATACAAACTAGTAATCTAGTGTATATAGTTGAAACCATGTTAGCGCTATTGGCCTACCAATTATGTACAGTGGTCCCCCGCTTTTCGTAGTTCCCGGCAATCGTAAATTTCGCCAATCATAGGGGTATTTTCGTATAAACATGGACTCGCTTTTCATAGGTTGACTCGCGAGTCGTAGTTCGTCCGGGACGCGTACCCACGGCGTGAGCCGGGGCGGCAGCCAGTCTGGCATTGTTTACCAGTGAGCGAAGGTCCCCTCACGTGCTCCAGCGAAATATTTCATAATATTCCATTTATTTTAGTGCTTGCAAGTACTAAATAAGCTACCATGGCTCCAAAGAAAGCTCCTAGTGCCAAGCCTGTGGTAAAGAAGGTGAGAAATACGATTGAATTTAAGAAAACCATCATTGAACAATATGAAAGTGGTACAAGTGTGGCCGAACTGTCCAGGATGTATAAGAAACCCTACACAACCTTATGTTCCATAGTGGCCAAGAAAAAGGAAATAAAGGACACTGTTGTTGCAAAGGGAGTAACTATGCTGACAAAAATGAGATCACCAGTACTGGAAGAAGTTGAGAAGTTATTATTGGTGTGGATAAATGAGAAACAATTAGCAGGAGATACTCTCATGACTTCGATTATTTGTGAAAAGGCTAGGCAGTTACATGAAGATTTGGTAAAGAAATTGCCTGCAAATAGCGGTGATGTGAGTGAATTTAAGGCCAGCAAAGGCTGGTTTGAGAGATTTAAGAACCGTACTGGCATACACAGTGTGGTGGGGCATGGTGAGGCTGCTAGTTCGGACCACAAGGCGGCTGAAAAATATGTGCATGAATTCCAGGAGTACATAGAGGCTGAAGGACTGAAACCTGAACAAGTGTTCAATTGTGACGAAACAGGCCTCTTTTGGAAGAAAATGCCAAAGAGGACTTTCATGACACAAGCCTATGAAAGACAGGCTGACGCTAATGTTCTGTGCTAATGCTAGTGGGGATTTCAAAGTGAAGCCATTACTAGTGTACCATTCTGAAAATCCTAGAGTGTTCAGGAAAAACAATGTTATGAAGAGTAAATTGTGTGTGTTTTGGAAATCTAATAGTAAGGCATGGGTCACGAGGGAAATTTTCGTCGAGTGGTTCAATGAAGTGTTTGGCCCTAGTGTGAAGGAATATCTCCTGGAAAAGAAACTGGATCTCAAGTGCCTGCTAGTAATGGACAATGCACCTGATCATCCTCCAAACTTGGATGACCATTAATTTTCGAGGAGTTTGGGTTCATCACAGTAAAGTTCTTGCCCCCAAATACCACTCCTCTCCTCCAACCCATGGACCAGCAGGTTATTGCAAACTTTAAAAAACTCTACACAAAAGCAATGTTTCACAGGTGCTTGACTGTGACCACAGACACTCACTTGACCCTAAGGGAATTTTGGAGAGAACACTTCAGCATCCTCCATTGCATAACCCTTATAGGTATGGCTTGGGAGGGAGTGACTACCAGGACTTTGAACTCTGCCTGGAGAAAATTGTGGCCAGATTGTGTCGACAAGAGGGATTTTGAAGGATTTGGGACTGACCCTAATGAGCCTATGTCCGTTGTAAAATCAATTGTGGCACTGGGGAGTTCCATGGGGTGGGATGTGAGTTTGGAGGATGTGGAAGAATTGGTGGAAGACCACAATGAAGAGCTCACCACTGAGGAGCTGCAGGAGCTTCAGCAAGAAGAGCAACACATCGCAGCTCAGAATCTTGCTGCAGAGGAGGAGGAAGAGAGATGGAAGAAGGTGCCTTCTTCAGAAATTAAAGAGATTTTTACTGTATGGGGTAAGATGGAAAGCTTTATGGAAAAACATCACCCTAACAAGGTTGTTGCAAGCCAGGTTGGCAACATGTACAGTGACAAAGTCTTGGGCCATTTTAGGGAAGTGTTAAAGAGACGCCAGAAACAGAGCTCTCTCCACAGTTATTTTGCGAGACAGGACCCCAGTGATTCTCAAGGTGGTCCTAGTGGCATTAAGAAACAGAGAAGAGAAGCAACCCCAGAAAAGCAAATGGTACCTGAGGTGTTGATGGAAGGGGATTCCCCTTCCAAACTATAAACAATCCACTCTCTCTCGTCCTCAGTCTCCCATACACTAAGAAGAATCTCCAATAAAGGTAAGTGTTATGCTGTTAACGTTTCATTCATCATTTCCCATTGTATTGTTTATGTACTACATGTATATTTCATGTAAAAAAATTTTTTTGTTTTAATACTTCTGGGTGTCAGGAACGGATTAATTGTATTTACATTATTTCTTATGGGGAAAATTGATTCGTTAGTTTAAGTTTAATATGTTTATTATGCACCCCATACCCATCCAGTGGGCGGTAGTCAAAAGATTACAGAGGTACATAATGGGTCCAGGGACTGGGCCTCAAAGTTTTGATAGCTGAGCAAGTTACAGAGGTAATGAATTCACAATCGTAAATTTCATTTATAGTAACGGCTCCAGTAACGGATTAATTACGAAAAACGAGGGACCACTGTAATTATAATTTGTTTCAATTATTTACTTTCGTTGTTCCTTTTGGGCCACCCTGCCTCGGTGGGATACGGCCGGTGTGCTGAGAGAGAGTATCAATTATTTTTGAATAGGAAAGGGGAACAGAATTCTTCCTCCATAAGCCATGCTTGTCATAAGAGGCGACTAGTGGCTAGTAACTCCTGTATACAGTATTAAATTTATGAAGAGAAACTTTCTTTTTGGGCTACCCTGCCTTGGTGGGATACGGCTGGTGCACTGAAGGAAAGAAAAATATCAATGATTTATAATTTGCAACTGTTAATAAAGATTTCCCCGACATTGTAACTTGGGCTCAAGATACGTAACCAAATTATATAAAGATGTTCGAAGCAATTAATTAAAAAAAATAAAAATATATGTAAAGTATCTGCAAGATAAAGTCTGCTCCATGCTATGTACTCTCGCAGAAAAAATACACTTCCCTCCACTAGTGGAGGGAAGGCGGGGTAGGGGTCAGCCTAGGAAAGGTTGGAAGGAAGGGGTAAAAATTTTGTGAGAGGAGCTAGGACTTCCAGCATGCTTGCGTGAGCATGTTAGATAGGATTGAATGGAGACAAATGGTTTTTAGGACTTGACATGCTGTTGGAGTGTGAGCAAGGTAACATTTACGAAGGGATTCAGGGAAACCGGCAGGCCAGACTTCAGTCCTGGAGATTCAATTCAATTCAAGTGAAGTTTATTCTCTATAATGGTTACAATGTGGGGTTTACAGGTTTTGGGTACTTTGTGGTTTACATGTTATAAAATACTAATTACAGAGGGGGCCACTAGGACACCTAGCATGGCTAGGCATTTCGAGCAGACTTAGATTAATTCTTAACATTAAATCCTTACAGATTATGGTATTAAGGCTAAGTGACTACATCATAATTTGTGAGTTTAGCAATGTGAATGCTTTTGTTTTGGCACAATACAAGGTGTCTATATATGAGTATCATAGGCAAACTTATGACTAGTTAGGGTTTATTATTTTAAAATTAAGATTAGTATTTCTGGGTTTATAGTCAGTGGGTGAGTGAGTGTAATTTTGAACTACCAGGTGGTTATCATGTAGTTAGTTGTCGGGGTGGATCAGGGAGATAAGATGTTTTCTAACTATAGTTTTGAAAGTGATGAATGTGTCTGCAGTTCTAGAGTTTTCAGGTAGGGTGTTCCAGATTTTAGGTCCTTTGAAATACATTGAATTTTTGTAAAGGTTTAGTCGAAACACGGGGAAGTCAGAGATGTTTGTGTCTGGTGTTATACCTGTGGATCCTGTCACAACTATCAAGAAAGCATTTTAGTCAAGGTTAATATTGGAATTTAAGGTCCTGTAGATATAGATTAACACAGTGTAAGTGTGGATGTTCTGAACAGGGAGTAAGTTTAGATCTATAAAGAGTGGGGGGGGGTGTGTTACCAGGATGGGATTTAGTGATTATTCTTACTGGGGCTTTTTGTTGGGTTATTTTTGGCTTTAGGTGTGTTGCGCAGTGAACCCCAAGCACAGATAGCATGGGTGAAGTATGGATATATAAGTGAATGGTATAGTGTGAGAAGGGCAGTTTGCGGTACGTAGTATCGAAATCTTGGAGAGGATCCCCCCCTTTTTTGGATATTTTTTTTTGTTATGTGTTGGATATGGGTGCTGAAATTTAGGTTGTTGTCAAGGTATGGGCCCAAGGAAATTTGCCCTCATTATGTCTGGCAATTAGAGTGTTGTCGATCTTAATGTTAAGTTGTGCAACCCCTGCTCTGCTACCTAACATAATATAGTAGGTTTTGCCAGTGTTAAGTGTAAGTTTATTGGCCGTCATCCAAGTCGATATTTTGAGCAGCTCCTCGTTAACATGGTGTTGAGGGTGGCAAGATTAGGGTGGGAGATGCCATAAGTCGTGCGTCAGCAAAGAGAATGGGTTTCAGGTGTTGGGATATTTTGGAAGATCATTGATGTAAATGGGGGAAGAGAAGGGGTCCAAGGACACTTCCTGCGGAACTCCAGTATCAAGTGGCCGTATTGATGAGGCTGTGTCTTTAATGGTGACATACTGATACCTATTAGAAAGGTAGGATTTAAAATATGCAAGCGCATGGCCTCTTATACGATAGTGGTCAAGTTTGTGGAGTAGGATGCCGTGGTCTACTGTGTCAAACGCTTTTCTTAGGTCAATAAAAATTCCTAGCGGATATTCCTTATTTTCCAATGCTGTGTAAAGCAGGTCTAGCATTTTTATAATTGCATCATTAGTGCTTTTATTTTTCTTGAATCCAAATTGGCAGGGATTAAGTATGTTTTGTGACGTTATAAATGAATATAGTCTCCTGTGCACGAGTTTGGATAGCAATGGTAAGTTTGATATTGGCCTATAGTTGTTTACGTCTGTAGGGTCACCACCTTTATGTATTGGTGTAACCCTTGCTGTCTTGAGTAGTGTCGGGAAAGTGCTAGTTTCTAGTGACTTGTTAAAAAGTAATGTATGTAATAGCATGCGAAAGAACATGGGCCGCTCGCTTGTACAATAATGGCGAGACGTGAGACAGATTCCCCGAGTTATATTTTTAAGTGACTTTATGATCGCGGTGACTTCCCTGGGCTCGTTGGTACAAGATAGAAGGAATTTGGGAATTCCCATCTAGGTGTTTCCCCCGGGACGGGCATTGGTACGTGGGATTTACTGGCGAGATTAGATCCTATGTTTGAGGGAAAAAGTCGTTTTTTCTTGTTAGCTGTATCAGTGGGATGCAGTGGTGTTTCATGAGGTTTAGTTAGAACAATATTCTTGTTTTTTTTTCATTTGTGGGTCCCCAGAATCTGGGAAAAATGTTTTCCAGGTCTTTTTATATCTCCTCTTGTGTCAGTGAATCTGCTGGAGTAGTACAGTTGTTTGGGGTTTCTTTATTAATTTGGGTGAGAACTGTTGAATATTGTTTAAGAATATCTTTGTGTATTAAGCCCTGTCTATATTGCTTTTCATACTGGTGTTTCTTATCAATGGATTTCAGAATGCTGCTGGTTAGCCATGGGCAACCAAGCCGTTTATTCGTGATCTGTTTCGTTTTTATAGGACAATGTTTGTTGTATAGTCTAAGTATTTTGTTAAGAAAAATGTCTGTCCAATCGTCAATACCATTGGCATTGGAGAATTCTGTAGGCCAGTCAACAGTCTCTGTTGACTGGCCAGTCAACAGGCCAGTCATGGCCTGTCAACAGGCCTCGTCATGGAGTCTAAATGAAACTTTGTTGCATTCGAGTGGTGGCTTACTAATGTTTGTTAAGAGGAAGGTTGGGTAGTGGTCAGTAGTGCTGTCTGTGATTATCCCTGATTTAAGGGGGGCTAGTATATTGGTCCATATGTGGTCTATTATGGTTGCACTTGTCTCAGTCAGCCTGGTTGGTTTAGTTATTGTTGGTATGAGAAGTGCATTGTTCATATTGTTGATGAAATCAGTTAGATAGGGAAGTACAGTGCCTGCACTCTGAAGGAGGCATGTTAATGTTGCAGTTTTAAAACTGTAGTGTAAGTGCACCTCTGGCAAGACAGTGATGGAGTGAATGATGGTGAAAGTTTTTCTTCTTTGGGCCACTTTACCATGGTGGGAAACGGTAGATGTGTTAATAATAATAAAAAAATATTTAGGTTATCATATATATACAGTTATACTGTACACATACTATGGATAAAAAATACAATAGTAAATGACAAGCAGCAGTATTATGATGACAGGCAAGATAAAGACATATATATTTTTTATCTTTGATGCAGTAAAATCTTTCATTCATTAACTGTCACAGAGAACCAAGTTTCTTACTGGGAGGCAATAATACGTTAATACTGACCTGCAATACGCTCTTATGATCGTCATTAAAGATCTGGACAGTATCAGATGGGGTGATAATCTGACTTTTCTTGATCCATGTGAAGTTGGCTTGAGGTTCTGCCACAGCCTCACAGGTTAGATTTACCTCTCCCATCACATAGCTGTAGGCTTGGTTCATGTGGTCATCCAGCCACTGAGGCTTGTCTGGTGGCCACAAATGTAAATTATAGAATGCATAGTTAAAAGACGAAGTGTAATAAAGAATTGAAAAATAAGTAATAGAATTCATTTAAACTGACACTATTCTTCAACAGTTAATGAAATCTAAGTCTGAAATGAAATGAGATACAAAAGATCAATAAAAAAAGGTTGGCTGTTGGAATTCATGATTGTCTATCCTATTACTGTGGCCTACTGGTGCAAATAAAATCATTCATGACTATGGAAAATCATAATTAATGGCTTATTTCAATTATTATTGCCTGTTACAGTGTACTTGAAAATAAATAGCATTCCCAGATGTAGCTAACACAATATACAGAACAAAGGCATAAAATCTTGCACAACACCCTAGAATTTTATTAAAAAAATACCTGAAACAAAAATCCCTTTAGAGGAAGTGCCTTGGTACATGTAAATGGCTCTCAGTCCAGGAAACAAAATGCCCTCCCTTTTCTTGAATCAAAGCACTTTACTTTTCATTCCCCAGGATATTTCATAACCCTTACAGGTTTGGTTAAACTTAGTGAATTCAATGGTCATCGAAAAAGAATATGATAAAACATGATACATGTATAACTAATCCCATGAGAGTAGCGAGCTGTAGTATGTTTCTATAAATGCTCTCATCCTTTACATAAATGGCAGCACTGTTTGACCCTGGTAGTTTAGTGTTTCGTTTTGATTTTAATAAGGCTTTGAGGTACTCACGGTGAATCTTAACATTGATGGCAAAGTCCTTGAAGTCAGAAAGCCGGGACGAGAGTTGGAGGGCAACACAGCTATATTCTCCAGCGTCGTCAAGGGTCACGTTGTGGACAATAAGACTATTAGGACGCTCCTTACTGATCTCATACTTATCACCTGTTAGAGAAGACAGTGTGAGGAAAAGAGCAACTGAAACTTTAGTAATCTACTTATGGCAATATCCATGTCCATTGTAAAATAATAATTAAGCCTAAATCTGTTAATTGTATTACATGTCATCTTGGTTATATACAGTAATTTGTAATGTTTATATACAGTAATTTGTATATTCCAATTAACTGTACAATTCTGAATAATAGAAATACTAACCCCAATATAAGGTTCTTCTCTGTAGAACTAACAAAAAGAAAAGGTACATTGCAAGATAAAATACTAATTTAATTCCCTAGGTGTATTACTGAATCTAAATGCAATAGAAACTTCCTGCAAGTAAAGGGCTACACATAGGTTATTTCTTATCTGAAGAAATTAAAAGCTGTATATTACGTAAATACAAAAGAAATAGTGTATCCTGCCTGGACACACTGCCAGTGGCAGGAGGCTAAGGGGGTAAAGCCTTGAGTTGCAAATGCTATTTTTTCCAATTAATGACTAATTTTCATTGCATTATATTGACAAGTGATCAGGAAAGCACGACAGTTAAAGAAATTTCACATAATGTATGTACTGAAAATTATAAATATTTTTGAAGATTTTTGTTTTTATTTTTCAGCCTATGATTTTTATACCCCTAGGATGAAACCCATGTTGTGCTACTGCAAAGTGATACAGTCTAGCAGATGCAATAAAAACTGTACAATAACAAGTGTTTAGTAGCAATAGTTTTTCCAAAGTGTGTTACAAATCATTCACTTAAGCTGCACAATAATCATGCCATCTCTAGCAGCAATAAGTCTGATATACAAAACATTACAGCTATTATTTTGCAAGTACAAAAATGGTGCACAACTCGTATCAGATGTTTCCTCTAGAGTCGTCTCCTTAACTCCCTGGATTTGTGAGCTGTCTTCAACAAGGGCCAGTCTCTTGAGGCTTGGAGTTGAAGGAACAGGATATACTGGAATGCTGTCAAGCTACCATCTCATTTACATATGGAAGGATTTAACCCCACTCTGACCAAGCATTTATGAATCGACACTTATGGTCGCTCCTATGGTTGGTAGGTGTAGGTGTAGTGTGTGTGTGTATACTCGCCTAATTGTGGTTGCAGGGGTCATGACTCAGCTCCTGGCCCCGCCTCTTCACTGATCGCTACTAGGTCCTCTCTCTCTCCCTCTCCGCTTCCCGAGCTTTGTCATACCTCCTCTTAAAGGTATGTATGGTTCCTGCCTCCATCACTTGCTAGGCTATTCCACTTCCTGACAACTCTATGACTGAAGAAATACTTCCTAACCATCCCTGTGACTTGCCTGAGTCCTCAGCTTCCAACTGTGACCCCTTGTTTCTGTGTCCCCTCTTTGGAACATCCTCTGTCTGTCCACCTTATCTATTCCATGCAGTATTTTGTATGTTATTATCATGTCTCCCCTTACCCTCCTGTCCTCCAGTGTCATCAGCCTGATTTCCCTCAACCTTTCTTCGTAGGACATTCCCGAGCTCCAGAACTAGCCTTGTTGCAAACCTTTGTACTTTCTCTAATTGCTTGACCAGGTGTGGGTTCCAAACTGGCGCTGCATACTCCAGTATGGGCCTGACGTACACAGTGTACAGTGTCTTGAACGATTCCTTACTAAGGTATCGGAACGCTATTCTCAGGTTTGCCAGGCGCCCATATGCTGCAGCAGTTATCTGGTTGATGTGTGCCTCCAGAGACGTGCTCAGTGTTAAGGTCACCCCAAGATCTCTCTCCTTGAGTGAAGTTTGCAGTCTTTGTTCACCTAGCCTATACTGTCTGCCGTCTTCTTTGCCATTCCCCAATTTTCATGACTTTGCATTTGGCAGGGTTGATTTCGAGAAACCAGTTGCTGGACCATGTGTCCAGCCTATCCAGGTCTCTTTGTAGTCCTGCCTGATCCTCATCTGATTTAATTCTTATCATTAACTTCACATTATTTGCAAACAGGGACACTTCAGAGTCTATCCCATCCATCATGTCATTCACATACCAAAAATAGCACTGGTCCTATGACTGACCCCTGTGTGACCCCGCTCGTCACAGGCACCCACTGTGATACCTCATCATGTACCATGACTCATTGTTGCCTCCCTGTCAGGTATTCTCTGATTCACTGCAGTGCCCTTCCTGTTATACGTGCCTGATCCTCCAGCTTCTGCACTAATCTCTTGTGAGGAACTGTGTCGAAGGCCTTCCTGCAGTCCAGGAAATACAATCAACATACCCCTCTCTCTCATGTCTTACTTCTGTTACCTTGTCAAAAAACTCTAGGTTTGTGACACAGGATTTGCCTTCCATGAATCCATGCTGGTTGTCGTTTATAATCTTGTTCCATTCCAGGTGCTCCACCACTCTTCTTCTGATAATCTTCATGACTTTGCATACTATACACGTCAGAGACGCTGGTCTGTAGTTTGGTGCCTCGTTTCTGTCTTCTTTCTTAAAAATGGGGACTACATTTGCCATCTTCCATACCTCAGGTAGTTGCCCAGTTTCAAGGGAAGTGTTGAAAATTGTGGTTTGTGGCACACACAGTGCCTCTGCTCTCTCTCTAAGGACCCACAGAAAGATGCTGTCTAGTCCCACCACCTTTGAGGTGTCAAGGTCACTTAGCAGCTTCTTCACCTCCTCAGTTGTGTGTATTTCATCCAACACTTGTTGGTATATCCCTTGTTGGTGTCCCCCTCTGTTCTGTCTTCCCAGAGTCCTTCCTGTCTCCACTGTAAATACTTCCTTAAATCTCATGTTGTGCTCCTCACATACCTCTTGTGAGCTCCCCACCTTTCCTCAGCTTGATTACATGGTCTTTGACTGTTGTCTTCCTCCTATTGTGGCTATACAGCAATTTCAGGTAAGACTTGACTTTCGATGCTATGTTGTTGTCGTACTGTTGCTGGGCCTCCCTTCTTATTTGTGCATACTCATTTCAGGCTTTTCGACTAATCTCTCTATTTTCCTGGGTCCTTTGTCTTCTGTACTTTTTCCATTCTCTCGTGCACTTAGATATTGCCTCCCTACACCTTAGGGTAAACCAAGGGCTTGTTCTGGTCTTCCTATTATTTCTGTTGCCCTTGGGAACCTTTCCTTTGCCTCCTTGCATTTTGTTGTTCCATATTCCATCACTTCGTTTACTGACTTTCCTACTAATTCTCTGTCCCACTGAACCTCCTGAAGAAAGTTCCTCATACCTGCGTAGTCCCCCCATTTATAGTTTGGCTTTTCCCATTCAACTCCTGTTACCCTCTCCACTCGTAACTATGTATTCAAAGCTCAGAACCACATGATCACTAGCTCCAAGGGGCATCTCCTATGTGATGTCCTCAATGTCCGAGCTGCTCAGGGTGAACACGAGGTCCAGTCTTGCTGGTTCATCCTCCCCTCTCTCTCTGATAGTGTCCCTAACATGTTGGTGCACGAGGTTTTCCAGTACCACATCCATCATCTTGGCTCTCCATATTTTGGGACCCCATGTGGCTCCAGGTTTTCCCAATCAATCTCCCTGTGGTTGAAATCACCCATAACCAGTAACTTTCCTCTGCTTGAGTGAGCTTTTCTGGTCACCTCAGCTAGTGTGTCCACCACTGCTCTGTTGCCCTCTTCATATTCCTCTCTTGGCCTCCTGCAATTCTGTGGTGGGTTATACATCACTGCAATGACTACTTTATGTTCCCCAGACTGAACTGTTTACCTGGAGTTTACCTGGAGAGAGTTCCGGGGGTCAACGCCCCCGCGGCCCGGTCTGTGACCAGGCCTCCTGGTGGATCAGAGCCTGATCAACCAGGCTGTTGCTGCTGGCTGCACACAAACCAACGTACGAGCCACAGCCCGGCTGATCAGGAACTGACTTTAGGTGCTTGTCCAGTGCCAGCTTGAAGACTGCCAGGGGTCTGTTGGTAATCCCCCTTATGTGTGCTGGGAGGCAGTTGAACAGTCTCGGGCCCCTGACACTTATTGTATGGTCTCTTAACGTGCTAGTGACACCCCTGCTTTTCATTGGGGGGATGTTGCATCGTCTGCCAAGTCTTTTGCTTTCGTAGTGAGTGATTTTTGTGTGCAAGTTCGGTACTAGTCCCTCTGGGATTTTCCAGGTGTAAAATAATCATGTATCTCTCCCTCCTGCGTTCCGGGGAATACAGGTTTAGGAACCTCAAGCGCTCCCAGTAATTGAGGTGTTTTATCTCCGTTATCCCACGCTGTGAAAGTTCTCTGTACATTTTCTAGGTCGGCAATTTCACCTGCCTGAAAGGTGCTGTTAGTGTGCAGCAATATTCCAGCCTAGATAGAACAAGTGACCTGAAGAGTGTCATCATGGGCTTGGCCTCCCTAGTTTTGAAGGTTCTCATTATCCATCCTGTCATTTTTCTAGCAGATGCGATTGATACAGTGTTATGGTCCTTGAAGGTGAGATCCTCCGACATGACACTCCCAGGTCTTTGACGTTGTGTGTTTCGCTCTATTTTGTGGCCAGAATTTGTTTGTACTCTGATGAAGATTTAATTTCCTCATGTTTACCATATCTGAGTAATTGAAATTTCTCATCGTTGAACTTAATATTGTTTTCTGCAGCCCACTGAAAGATTTGGTTGATGTCCGCCTGGAGCCTTGCAGTGTCTGCAATGGAAGACACTGTCATGCAGATTCGGGTGTCATCTGCAAAGGAAGACACGGTGCTGTGGCTGACATCCTTGTCTATGTCGGATATGAGGATGAGGAACAAGATGGGAGCGAGTACTGTGCCTTGTGGAACAGAGCTTGTCACCGTAGCTGCCTCGGACTTTACTCTGTTGACGACTACTCTTTGTGTTCTGTTAGTGGGAAATTATAGATCCATCGACCCGACTTTTCCTGTTATTCCTTTAGCACGCATTTTGTGCGCTATTACGCTATGGTCACACTTGTCGAAGGCTTTTGCAAAGTCTGATTTTTAACGCATTTTTTTTGTCTTCAGGCATTTGGCCTTGGTAGTGATCCAAAGTTGAGA